TCGCCATAGGATGGAAAATAACGGTCCAAATAATCTTAATTCTACGCTTGTGATCACTACAATTGATATTGGCTCAAATATGCTCAACACGTTGTTTGATACCTGAAAATTAAGCGTGGTCATATACGAGTTAAGAAGTTAAAGTTAAGGTAAAATCAAGTTTAACTTTTTAATTGAACTTTTTTATTTTAATTTTCATTAACTTAAATTTTTCTTATTGTTATGAATTTAATAAATAACGAGTTAAATTTAATCAAATTTAAGTTAAGTTAATTTATAAATAATTAAATAAAAATTATAACAAAATTATTATTGATTATGCATATTACATAACCTTTTACTAGTATAGGAAATTAGAAATATAGTTAAATTTAACCAGAATTCTTCAAGAAAATAACTTAATTAAATACATGTAGCAATAACCATGTAACCAATAGGTATATAATATTATACAATATGGTATATAAGTGTACCGTATACATAAAGATATTCTATACTGCAGTAATAATAACAATGATAATAATTAAAAAATACTTATAACAAATAAGTAGTATAATATTATATTATTATATTGGTATAAATACATATCACAAATATACAATTCTCATGAACATAATATAAAATATTTTCGCTATAATAAAATAAATAAATAATTTTTATATTAAAACCAATTAGGTTGTGCTGTAGACCTTTAGTTCCCTGAAAAAGTATTTAGAGTTTAAAATCAAGTGCATTCTAAAATATCATGTTATTTTTATTTAATAATTTAAAAAAAATGTATAATATATATACCTATATAATTAAAATATTTTGATATTTTAATATTTTATTTATTTTGGAATTTGTTTATTTTTGGTATTTACTACATAATTCTATTCATCAGTACATATTAATTTAACTCTTTGTATAGAAAAGCTAAAGGGCTCTTTTCTGTGTTTTTTAATTTTTATGATTTTTATTATTTTAAACCATATAACTAGGTATTTATACAGTTATTAAAAAAATAAAAACAACTGAAGTTATTAAGTTGATTGAAAATGTTCATTGAACGTTTAACTTAAATGAGTCAAAATAAATATTAGATTAACTATTAACTTTAAACATTTTTAATCGTTTTTCATCTTTTTAACTTAACTTAGTCAAAAATTATCATTAACTCGTCCAGGTTTACTGAAAATAATAAAACGTTCGTTTCACAATTCATAATTTATAGGGCATTATATTAGCTTATTTCGATTATTTATCTAATCGATAGTATATATAGGAGTACATAAATATATACCTAGTATGTACCTGTATTTACCTACCTGTATTTTATTTTTGTTTGAAGTTATTCACACATACATTTAATTTTAAGGTTTTTTAAGACTTTTCTTTTTAGTCTCTCTGCTATAACGGAAACTTCCAAGTGATTTAAAACGAAAAAAAAACGTTTTACAATAAACTATTGAAAATACCTATTGTATATACATATTTAAATGTATTTATATTTTACATTAATGTTTGTATACATTTTATTAATGAAATACTTTCTTGTAAACATAATATTATTCCGAGAATTCCTACACGTATTTAAAAGTAATGGTTTTTATTATATTTGTATGATACTATATATAATAATTACATACCCATTTATGTCCATTATATGCATTTATAATAAGTACACAAACTATGATAAATCGCCAAACGTAGTTAATCAACATCCAACTATTTCCATTATATTTTACACTCCCATTGCCGGTTATCAGTAGAAACAAATTAAACTTTTTTATCAAATAAATCATATTCATTGTAACGTGTTTTTCGATGTATGACGATCAAGTCAATTGTTTTATTATTTCGATGACTGAATTCGTGTGAATACTCGTATTATACGTATAAGTTTGAAACGTGTGAAAATATAACTCATTAAATCCAGACATTTCGTAAATTTAATATTAATAATCATTGTTTTTTTGGAAATGACATTCAATGCGAATATATCCATTGATCCGTTAAAATATTTATACACTTATATCAATCAAAAGGTGCTCAGCACTCAAATGGAAATACAAGTGACAACAATTATATACATTCAAACAATTCTTAAGTGTCTATTAATTGAAATGAAATAAAAATAATATAACTGGGTTCGAGTTCTTACAAATGGATTATGCAGTAGTATATACAATTAGTGTATAAGTATTGTTATGCTAATTGATTAAGCAAGTTAAAATTAATAAATCAATATATTTATTTCCACTTGTGAAAGATTTTATGAACAAAAAAATTTCTCTATTCGTCTTTAACAGTTGTCATATAAAATATAACTAAATAAATATTGACAACATCGTTAAAATCTATATTGAGTTACACATATATACCATATATATTCTACATTGTGCTCGACCGATTACGAAGTGCCTGTCATCCGCAACCCAAAACACATCACCAGTCATCACGTTCATCAGAGAAGCCTTGGTTGACGAAGACTCGTACAATCGTTTGGTGCCCATCAGAAGTTTTGGTTATTCAAATACACAAATAGATACCGGCAAATTCGAATAATATTCATAGAATGTGCGCGGAGAGTTTTGTGTAGTCACCGAATAGAAACTACATAAGTGGCATGAGGGGGCAGTTTCCCCTCCAGAAAAATATTGAGGAAGCAAACTTATCATTTAGCCCCCTTCCTAAATTAAATTTTATTTAAAACTTTTTTAATTTTTATAAAATATTTATATTAAAATTACATTTGTACAATTATGTAAGAAAATTATTCCCCATGTTAAGTCAGATCAATTTTATCAATATTACCATAAATTAATAAAAACTAAAGCATTAATGTACATTTTCATTGATTAAATATACAGTATTAGTTTGACCATATTTAAAAAAAAAACAGGACACTTTTTTTGCAACGAGTAAAAAAAAAATGTATTAATTCATAATTGTCAAAAAATGAAACATATGCAAATAATATATATATTATATTATATATTACCTTTTATATATATATATATATATATATATATATATCTGTATATATTTATATAGTATTGTAACAACAAAACGATATTCAATTATTTATAGTAAAACTACCTGTTATATTTAAATGAATTCATACATCAATGTACATTTGTTAATTTTACATATTACATATTTTATTCTGATGTTGATTGGAGTTATTTTTTATTTCCAAAGTCATATTTTTGTGATGAACTTATTAATTCTAATAATTCATTTTGTTTAGAAAAAAATTATAAAATTCATTACAAGAATAATTTTTGAAATGGATTTAACAATAATTATAGCTTTTATATTGTCTATGAGAAAACAATTTTTTTCATCGCTCCACAATAAACTTATATTAGAAAACGTTCTATCAAGTGCTGCATTTATTCCGGGTATTGCCAAAGCATATTCCTGCTATGTTTTGTAGGCCAATATTTTGATTTACCATATACTCGAAAATTTCACACCATTTTCTTTTACTTTTGTACAATTTTTTGCCATTCGTGAACTCGTATTTTGAAAAAGTTCACTGCATGATAAAATTCATTGAATAAATCATCTTCACCTAATTTCCAACCGATATTATTTTTATTTTTTTCTTTCAAAAAACATTTACTTTGTTGAACGTAATCGTAATGTAAACGTAATGTAAAGAAAGACAAATTATTAATTGGATCTACCGTAATATTTTTAAATCATCAAAATAATAACCCCATTTTTCAAGGTATGATAAAAAAGTATCGTAAAATAGATCAGTATTTTATTTAAATAACTTTTCATCATACATGCTTTGTTTTTTCAAATCATTTAACAGTGATACAATTTTAGAAGTTAAAAAATTGTGATTTTTCCTATTTCTAATTTTTCCACACAAAACCTACAATTCTTCTGCTACTTTCTATAATTTGCATATACATGCACAATGCATTGCACATAGATCTTATAGTTAAGTAATACTTATACTTAGTATAAAATCTAGGCTTTAAAATGTAATTTGTGTTCTGCATGTCATAAAAGAATCCGTTTTGTAAATAGATAAGAGTTCTTTGAATGCATATATTGTTTATTTATTTTTTTTAACAATTGTTTAATACGTGGTTATTTGGAGCACAATTTATGTGTGCACCGGACTATTTTTTATCGAAACGCGTAACGCGTCGATCGTGTAAACAAGTTTTTATGTTTATGTTTCATAAATAATAATTTATTTTTTTCCAATTAATTTTAATTTTACAGTGACAAAGAGTCTAGGGATCTTGAGAAAATTATATGTAGATAAGTACATGATATGTACTCATACATATAATACAATTAATATTCATTTTACCCACTTGCATAGGAAATTTACAAATTATTTGTGTTGAAATAAAGTAAAATTTATCGTTTTACTATAGTTTATTCATGTAATTTGTTAATTACCACATGAAATAAAATATGAGTTTACTACTTAAATTAATAATATTGTCAGTGGTATGGTGAATATTAATTTTTGATGCATGTGACTCAAAATGAGTGGAGGTTTCTAATGCTATAGTGTCTTGAGAACAGCATAAAACTAACTTCACATAATACTGAAGTAATTAATTAAGTAAGCTTAAGGAAGAGACTTGTAAAATGTAAGTACCTACATTTAAAAAATATGAAAAAATAGAAATTTTATGGATGTTACGATAACCCACAACGCTATCTGAGGATGTCGTGAACATGTATGTGTAATTGCGAGTTTTGAAAACACATATGTAAATAAAATCATTAACTTAAATAATCTATTATAATCCATTTTACAATTAATTATCAAAACATATGTTTTTATTATACATTTAAATATTATTCATTTTAATTCGAATACTTGAACAGATATACAAAAAAATAAATACTCTAAAAGTTTTTTACTTGAGAACATCATAATAAAATGTTGGTTGTAATTCTGGTGTCAACAGAATAAACAGTTTGACAAATTACTGATTCATAGCATTTTACACAAAATGTAAGCATCATATGTAAGTACATATGTAGTATAGTTACGAACAGGGACAGATGCATAAAACAATTTCGGGGGGGGGGGGGATTTAAAAAAATAAGAATAATTACTGTCAGACCCATATCTAAAAATTTGGCACCTCGGGCATATAATTTATGCCCCCCCCCCCCCCAAAAAAAAAAAAATAAATAAATAATATTAATATAACACTTATTATTTCGTCTATAATCGAGATTCTTTAATATTAAAATATAATTTATAAATGAAAATCGTTTAATACTTTTTTTAATTAACAAATTAAATAAATTATAACATAATAAAACATATTATTTTATTTTTTTATTGTTATATTTTTTTTTCATTAGGTACATAATTTTTAAAATTAATTTTGCTAAAATATTTTACCGCTCCTGAGACTTGATGCCCCCGGATATGTGCCTACCCGTGCCCCCTCTAAATACGGGCCTGAATACCGTTATTTTGAAATAAGTGACTATTGACTATAGATTGGCTATTGTCGATCGTTATCACATGACATTGTTGTACAACACAAAATTTAAGAAAACCGTCAATCATAATGTAGGTACCATTGTAAATAATATTGTACCGATTACGTATATTTAATTATTTTTACTTACTGATAATAAGCGATTTACAAACACGCATTACTTTTAAGAAGTATTGCCATCATGGAATTTCAAAAATTTGAGTTTTAAGTGCCAACACCTTTTAGAATGTTTGGAAAATTACAAATTATTACAAATTCACTTTTCTTAACAAAACATTTTTTTTCTAGCATATTTTAATCGTATTTTGAACAATTCATTTTTTTTAAGATACATAAATTAGGATAACTACCTTTGAAATTAATCATTCATTCATTTCGGGAGGGGTTTGAATCCCCAAAACCCCTCCCTGCGACCGCCACTGGTTAAGAACAACTAGTGCACCAAATTATTTTAATAATTATACAACACAACATATTTTAACATATAAATGTTGACTGTTGATTAATATATTGTAGTAAATTTAACTATCGGAGTTTTTTTAACAAATTGTTATGATATACAACTTTATAGTATTTATAGTTATAACTACAATACATACTTATCACTATAATACATTATAATTCTATGTTAATAATATTCAAAATATAAATATAATATATAAGGTCGGACTCGTCCATCACAATTAACCACATTTTTAAATCATTATATAGATAAATAAATATAAGTATATATTATCTAACGATAAAATATTACAGAGTTAATTTCACACTTATTTGTGTTATACATGATAAAGTAAAGTAATAAAAAAATTATAGTACTAAACGAACATCCCGACCTTGCTGATTGTTTTATAATTATAACATGAGATAATAAACATGTTGATAAGTATAATATTCATTGTTATCGAACTTAAACAGTTAAAAATCATTTTTAGAATTATTTAATTCAATTAATTGACAAAATAATTGTAAATAATCAAATAATTAAATTGCATCAATAACAGTCATATCATTTGATGACAATAAAATTCCCTAATGTTTACCAATTTTCAATATGGTTTAATAATCACAATTCTTAAAAATATAAAATTTATTAAAGACACTTAAAAGTAATTATTGTCGTTTATTGTCGAAATGTATCGAATTTTGTTGCTGTAATTCCTGAAAAATTGCATGCCAACTTACAGCAACGCATTATTTTTTTATACACTTTCGACAAGATTGGGCAATCTTTAAATGAAACCTATACATTTTTAATACAAATTACAGCGGTAAATAAAGTATATGTAAAGTGAAGTGTCTAGAGAATTCCCCTGAATTAAGAAAACGATGTAAATAACGGTAAGAACTGATATATTTAGCAATGTCTCAATACATATTATATACATATAAATACATTGTTTGAGCTATGGCATTTTTGATTTGGCGATTGATGGATTACATGAGTTAAAAGTTCTGAAAAAAAGAAAATGATAAAATTCAACATAAATAATTTTTAATATTAATTAATTTCTTTTGTAGTAAATATTAAATAATACAAAATTAAATAAAAAATATTTTTAATAAGTACTTAAATTACTCATATTACTTTTAATTTAGCACTACAAATTACAAATTATAATTTGATTATTTTAAATAGGCATTTTTTTATTAGATATATTTACCTATATAATTTCATGAATTCATGATATTTATAATAATAAATGTATTTATATTTTTTCTTAATTGTTGAATACAAAATTATATTTTTGTGAAAATAATTTTTTTTAAAACTCATATATAAATGTAATATAAATTTTTTTTTATTCATGTAGATAATTTAAAATTTATTTTGAAAATTACACTTATTTTTTAAAAAAAATTATTGTATTAATTGCAGATAATGGAATTATATGTGGCATACTAATGATGTTTTCAAGTCTTGTATTAATAATGATATTAATTAATATGAATATAATCAACCGACTAGTTACCTATATTGTAATTTATAATTTTTATGTTTTTAAAAATCAAAATGTTATTTTTCAATTAATATTTAATATTTAGAGGTGTATTTAAATACACACCATCAATAAGCTCATTTTTGGTGCAGCTTTGGCGACAGTCTTGATGACCTTGGCAGATTCGACTTGTCCGACGACAACGATATTCATGGATACCTTTTCAGCGCCCATTTTGGTTTTGGTTGGTTTTTTAAGAATAGAAGTGAAAACTAAAATAGAAATAGTATAAAAACAATATTATTATATTTTAAAAAGTCCTGCTGAAAAATAAAAACACATAGTTTCATACTCACCAAAGTAAATATTCACAATAAATCGTATTATACCGGAATTGAGATTTCTAATGCCTTTATATACATCACTCGCTTCGGCAATTTATAGTGGACTGATGTGGCGTGATCGTCCTATAACATTACTTGTTTTTCCGATTGGCTTATCAATCATCGGAAGATGTCTGTGTATTTTTGCTAATTAATATTAATAAAAAATTCGTTTACGATTTTAATTTAGATAATTTCAAAATATTGGTTTAAAATCGAATGAGTAAAAACCTCTATGATTTCAGATTGTGTCTTTTATTGGTAGAATTTTAGATTATTTTATTATTAAAAAACTGATATTTGACGATTTTGAATTAGTTTTTAATAAACCAATTCGAGATACTCAAACAGTGGCGTAACTGAGAATGTTTGATGGGGGGGATCAAAATAAATTTGTAGGGTAAACTTGTGGGGGGGGCTTTGCCACTACGGCCCACATACCCCTTATCTATATTTTGTATAATTTAATAACTCAAAACATGTAATATATTTTATTAAGCACAAGTGCACAGCTATTATAATTACTAACCTCGGACATACTGTATACTATTTAAATTGAATTATACATTTAGAATATATTTAGATAAGGATTTATTATTTACCTAATTGATTTGTTTTTGTGATAATTCATCTTTATAATAATTACAAAAAGTTTAATGTCGCAATGAAAAGCATAAATACTTATATTATTTTTTTAAATTTAAATGAATTGTTATTAACTTAATTTATATTATTAATAAAAATGTATACATAAATTAATTAGAATTTAATTTATATAATTATACAATTGTCTTAGAATTATAGGAAGAAAAGCTTGTTAACTAGTATTATATCTCTATAGTTGATCTATTTGTGGATAAAAAAAAACTAGAAGAGATATAAGTCAAGGTAATTATGGTTGAATATCATATATTATTTCCAAGCACAGAGTAGAGCACATTTGATTTCTCAGTACTCCAAGATTTCATATAGTTTTGTATTAAAAAAAAAATATATTATAATTTCAGTTGATATATGTTATTATTCTTCCACCTGTCGACCGACCTGCCGAATAACGATTTCGTTTCTATTATCAAATAGGTTTTTATAATTTTGCAATATATAGGTAAGTATATCAGTTTATAAAGTAAATTAGTCGATTATAAAATTATTACTATTCTTTGTGGTGTACTATTATTTATATTTTAAAAATGTTAATACTTTAATAAGTCTAAACGGATTTACACGGAAAGAGTTTCTCATTTCTCGTACCTATCATTCTACCATTCGAGCATCTTCCATGCGATTATCGAATACAAGATTTTTTGTTCGAGAGTCATATCATGATTATTTACACCATGATAATAACTCACGCGGTTTTCGAGAATGCATGGTGACTTTTGAAAGCGATAAGCTCTGCTTTTTTTGTTCACACGTGTCGAGATTATTTGGTACGATAATTGGCTTCTAAAACTATCAACAAATGTACATAGTTTTTCATATCTCTTGGGCGTTTATTTTTATCAAACATTCGAAACTTGTATGAATCCGTCCATGTCGATTATTATGATATAATATTCTTATTTTGTGGTTTTTTTAAATATATATCTTAATTTAAACTTGTGCTTTTATTTTTTTACTTTTTAGATTGAGTAGTTAACTAATAAAATAAAAACGATGGCAAATTCAATCATGTTAGATCGACTGTTGTGATTAAGTTTATAGAAATTTATCGCAGCCAAGAATGCCTATGATATACAAGCAACAAAAATGATAAAAACCGAGACATGTGAAATCTCAAAAAAAAAAAATTAATAATTCAATTTATTGTTTATGTAAGCACTTGAATATTTTTGATTATTCTGCCGAAAGTATTCAAAAAATGCGAAATTAAAGATTAGTAATGACTAAAATATGGATCATTCAACAATAATAATTTATTTCACATTTAGACCAACGAAAATTGTATTATAACTCAAAAATAATTTTGGACAAAACCTCGATTTAAAAATAGTAAATCAAGTAAAAAGCAATTAGAATAAACAATATAAAAAAGTATAAATAAGGTTATACAAAATTAAGCTAAATTTATATCAGATATGTAATCCTACTAGTGATGTCAAATAATAAATCTGATAATCTTGGAAGTTCTATTTTCAATTCTGAGTCATCCATTATTTTGTCAATTCTAATATATGAAATAAAAATAAAATAATAATTAATAAAATGTACAATACAGAAAATTTATATTATTGTATTTACCCCGATAAAACCGAACCAATTGATAACAAGCCTTTCTTAATAAATAAGTTTAAAAGTATACCAGCCTTATGGCGAATACTTTGGTCTTCATTTAGTGTTATAAGTATCATAGAAGCAACGAATGACACTTGATCGTAATGTATCCACGAGTTGATATATTTTAACGAATGTACTATTTCCTGTAAATATTTTTAAATAAATAAACATAAGGTGTAATCAAAAAGTTATTGGTATTATGATGTATAATAATATAAGCTTTGATGGTTAAATAATTATATATTTTAAGATATTTATGTAAAAAAAAAGTTTAATATTAGTACGAAATAGATATTTCAAATTTCAAATTTCTGATAATCGATATCTAGGATGTTTTAGTAGATTTGTTTGATGAGTTATAAAAAATGTGGAATAATTATTTATTATTCTTCTTCATAACAACAATCTAATAGTACTACAATAATCAAAATGTATTCTTCTTCTTATTTTATTATTTTTTATATTTAAAATACTGATAATAAAATAAATAAACCTATTACATACATTGATATTTATCTTGTCAAAACCGTTAAGAACAGCCATACATTCATCAATAATACATTGGGCCATTACTGTATATGATTTAAGATCATATAGTTTTTTTAATTGCTCCGGCAAATTTTCAAAGGAAATATAGTGTTCATTGTCCTCAATTAACTTAAGAGGTTCTGTAAAAAATTAGTTATTAAAATGGTTAATAAATTATGTTATTTAGATTCAATCAAAAATATATTAAATTAAAACTGTTCAGAAGATATCATAAACCTATCTTGTATATTTTTTATTTAATTTAATAAAATACGATTTTGATGTCTTCGCTATGAAAATTTGAAGGAATCATTATTGCAAACTGATCATTGTTAAGAAAAATTTTTAAAAACAATTATTTATTACTGCATAAAAATTTATACTAATACAAAATTACAAAATAATTTTATCCTACTTTCTAATATACAATTTGAAAGTAATGTTACAACTTTGTATAACTGCTAAACATAAATAAAATGCATAACTTAAAATTTTAAAATTCAAATTATTGAATACATTATAACGAAAAAAACAATTATAATTGTACATGACTTATTATAAAACCTAACTAAATCTTAAAAAAATTTGTTAAAATAAATGCATAATATAGTAACTTAATAGTACATTTTTTCTAATGAATAATAATATTTATACAGTATAATTTGAAAATTGACATTATTACCTTCATGTATCCAACATTTTAAATGCAAGTTTTGTATTTTGAACATCAAAGACTGAAGAGTTGGTGACATTTTTATGAGGACAGTGTTTTCATTTTTAAATAATAGAATATGATGTACTATACCGTCCAAATTATGAGTCTAAAAAAATAAAATAAGAGATTATTTATTCTATAATTTCCTAATACTTTACTATTTTGCTTATTACTTTTGATAATTTTTGTCCTGCTATTTGTAATATTATACATAAGCAATGAATATTCAGAATATCTTTTACTTTCATTAATTCGTGAATGAACGACAATATATTTTTTTCGGTAAAAGCCCCTTGTTTAAATAATTCACCGATAAATCTATAAAAATATTATTTTGTACAATATATACAAATTATTAATTAATTTTACTTGAAAACATACTTGCAATGGGCTAAAGACCTTTTATAATATTGGAAATGAAAACTATTCAATATATTTTTGAAAAAAGATGGGGTCTATAACAGATATAAAATATTTATATTATTTGTTAATTAAATTAAAAAACATATATTATCAATTGGTGGAAAATGTATTTGAATATAATATGGTTTTAGTCAAAGGCAAATAATAATGGTTAAGTTTTAGTAGTTTGGTTGAGTAGTTCTACTTAAGTCAGTTTAATTATTAGCTATTATTGTTAATTATATAATTTACATTTGGGTAACTAAATCATATTATGTATGAATAAGTCTTGATTTAAAATGATACAAATCAGCTTATTTATAAATATTAACTAAGCAAGTATCAGTACTGAGATTTATCTTAAGCTTGAAATGATTTAAGACTAATAATTATAGATTATATTATAAAATCTAATGTAATCACAAAAATACTATTATTATATTAACAAATTATAACTAGTTACCATATTACTGTTCATAAAATTTTTTTTTAATTTATGTACTTCATTCTGAGGAGTACGAGTATAATATGAGGTAAACATATCAAAGATTTTTTGTGCTAAAACTTTTTGAAAAGTAGTTTTAGAATTGTGAAGTTGGTTAAATGCAGCATGATTGGCCATGTATGCACATAACTTTGCATATAAAACTGTAAAATCGGGTCTATTTAAAGCCTAGATAAGTAAAACAATAAATTTAATAACTATTATAATTATTAATAATATTTATATACCCGAAAATAAATTATATCCACTATGTTTTCAAATATATTAATTGTTTTTAGTGGTATGGAAATAATTGTGTGTGTCATTTCATCAAAATTGTTAATATTTACATTTTGGATAATTGATCGTACCAAATTAAATATTTCCTAAAGTAAAATCGTTTAAAATAATAATTCTAAATATTTTCTAAAAATAAGATTAATTCAATAAAATGAAACATATCTTAAAAAAAAATATACAACAGTACAATAAATTATATTTTATAAACTTAGACATATATTTATAAATATATAATACACATTTTTAGTAAGATTCAATAATTTTTGTATGTATGATTATTGTTATTAATAATTACATCGAATTTCAAATATTTTAAATTATACAACATTTAATACTTACTACTGGTTTAAGACTAGCTTCCATAGTTGTTATTAATTGAAAAAATAAATATTTCTGAAAATACAATTTTTTTATAAGTAACATAAATTAATACAGGGGATCAATAGTTAAATTATGTAATTACTATTTATTAACTATCAATTTGGCGGATAGGTAAGGCCAAAATTTGAGAGGCAAAAATGTTGTTTTAAAAATAATTACTAGTTACTTATAATTGATTTTATTATATAATTATAGTCTCGCAAAAAAATATTATTTATAACTTTAATATAATTATTTATAAATTAAATTCTGTGTAATTTCATTTAACAGTAGATGGATGAATATAAAACGATTCTGGAGGCAAAACTTACTATTAAAAAACTACTATTGAATAAATTAAACAAATCTTAGAGTAAAACCAACAGGTCTAATAAAATTACTTCATATGTGAAGTAAAATATCTAGTTTTAAAACAACATTATGCACAACTATACGCTTTAGCAATAGTTATCATTAAAACAATTTAAAAAAATATATTTTAATTAGAAAACAATGAAATTAATTAAATAATACCTTTCAACTGTAATCTTGACTTGACAGCAGTCTTTTGTACTACTGAGATTGTTGATCGTTGATGAAAATATGCTTTATAAGATATAATATATCAAACACAAATGACAAACCAATTTTTAGCGTGGATCACTGAACAATAAAATGGATGTATCTAATATTTTTGAACCGAAAAATGATTTCTTCATTGACCATACACCATGGCTAGGTAGTAGTTAATTAAGTAACTAATAACTTCACTAAATTCTTTACTCACGCATACATTATTTTGATTGTAGTCACGGAAAATAATTATATTATTATCCAAGTCTGATTTGATAAACGATAATATTATTTAGTATCGAATTCTCGAATTCAGATGGCTGTAAACTATCAATATCCGTATTCAATGCAAGAAAGTGTTGTACCTATTTTTGTATCCAACGAGAGTGTGATTCGTAATGGTTACAAGCATGCCAGCTGGTCATAAAGTAATTACTCAATGTAGCCAGCAAATATATTAAAAGTTACGTTTTGACGGATAGGAAATAAAATTTATTTTTTTGAATTTAATTTGTTTAATTATATCACGGTCAATTAAGTTTTCAAGATATAATCTTGTTAAAAATATAAGTACTTTATACGTATTCAGTGGCGTAACTGAGAATATTTGATGGGGGGGGATCAAAATCAATTTGTAGGGTAAACTTGTGGGGGGCCTTTGCCCACACGGGTCACACACCCCTTATCTATATTTTTTATAATTTAATAACTTAACACATGTAAATATAATCATTCTATATTACATAACATTATACATTTATAGATATGTTTTAAAATGTTTTAATATTTTACAATTTTATGTCCAGATTCCTAGGCTTTTTGGCAAGTTCATCAATGATCTCTTTATTTGAAAATGTAATATCATTATGAATTGCCAACATTCCCAGACCATTAAGTCTTTTCTACAAAAAAAATTAAAATATTTTTCTCATTAGATATTATGAAAATGTATTTTATTAAGCACAAGTGCATAGCTATTATAATTACTAACCACGGACATACTGTTTCGAAGATACGTTTTTATCCTTTTAAGACTGGAACATATTCTTTCAGGCGTACTTGTAGAAACAAGAAGTGTGCATAGTATTTTTAAAATAAAATGCACATTTGGATAAATATTAGCATTACACACATGTAATGCTTCAAGTGCAGTTTTCGGAATATTGTTTATTTGCTCATGTTTTATCTTCCACAATTTCAATTCTGCAATTGAGTTGTTCACATCCAAAGAAGGTGAATAAAATTCAAGTAATTTTCTAAATTATACCTCCTCATTAGAAGTTAATGTATAGGAAAATAGACTTTAAAATCCTATAAAATATGACATATATACATTATACATAATCCATTAAAGGTTGAATTTAATAATATAGATTGATTATATGAATATTTTATTTCAGTGATTTGTTTTTAATTTTATAAAAAATTGGTACCAATTTAATTAAAAATGATAATAATGATTTAATTTAATATAGGTACCTTTAAAAATTTCAGAATGGATTGAAAATCTTTCTCCTAGTTGTTGTATAAAAAAGTCCAGTAGGGTATAAATACTGACACTTTGTGGTACTCTTCAACACTTAAATTGGGATCTGGATTTGCTCGATTTACTTGTCGTTCAGATATTATTTTAGTATTCAAGTCTATATCTATAATTACTGACATCTCCTATTACAAATGTCAAATATAAACATAATTCTTTTCATATAATTCATATAATAATATACTTTATTTTAGTATACTTACTTTTGCAAGCAAAAACAATTTGTGGAATTCAGTATCACAATTTAACCTGATATTTTTTAATACATTTATAATATCTTCAGCAAGGCTTACTGCTTCTCTCAAATCAATTTGTTATTTTTGTAGCAACTTACACAATGGTTAACCAAAAGAAAAAACCAACTGAAAAAATATTTTATTATAAAATAAAATAAATTATATTTATTAATTACTATTTACTTGTATAACTTGTAAGGATATAAGAAATTCTGAATCAATAGCTTTTAATAGTATATTATCTTCCGTTGCTGTGGTATCATTCCAATTAGAAATATTTTCTAATGATTCAACTACAAATGCAAATTGTTCAATGAAATCTGTTACCGAATCATAACGCTGCACCCATCGTTAAGATAAAGTTAGGATAGGATATATCAAAATATTATACAAATATCATTTTTATATATATAAAATGTATTACTTAAATGACTGATTGACAGACCATGATATTGTGAATATTTAGAAATATTTAATAAATAATATCATGCATTACTAACTTATCCAATAGGAAGTGTAAAAGTCATTAATAAAAACTGGAGTTAATTGGCATATGCATATGTATCTCTGTAGGTAGTTAACATTTTTAAAAAAAAATACTATTTTTCAATAAGTACCTCAGAGTTCTACGGAAAAGTATTTTTTATAATTTTGTAATCGTCTCAAAATTAGGCCAGTAATTAATGTTTTAACAAATCACACATATTATTTATCTAAAAAAATTACGAGTTATTGTTTAAAATGCATTTATAAAATCTTTGATTATAAAAACTAAAATATAATATAGGTTACAAAATTGGTCTCTTGGAAATTTTTTTCTCTTTTTAGACCTTGATTTGGACTCTTGGACAGTTAGCCCATCGGAGTTACTTGAAAAATGAATACCATGTATATTCAAAATTTTAATTTTTTTAATTCATAATTTATATCGTTTTAGTAGAAAGTTAAATAAATCATATTTTATTCTGTACGTTTGTCGCGCTGATAAAATTAGATTATATTTATTAATCGTAAATATGTCATTATCGGTGGTATCACTAATTCCAAAATGTAATATAAATATGCTTAAACACTTTTATAAGCATATTGTGTTTTTTTTTTAAAAGGTATTCATTTCTAATTCAGTTTCATCCCTGATAAATGGCCTTTTGAAATGGCTTGACACACAATTCCCTGACTCTGGATCCGCCCCTGCATAGAGGTGATAGTGGTTTTTACCCAAAAATTTCGATGATAAATTTTAATTTTGTTATGAATGTTAGGTTACAAGTAATTATGCAGAGGAGTGGATTTGAACTTATACTAATTAATGGAAAAATGAATTCATTAAAATCAAAATGTACAATATAAGTAAGTTTTATATATATGTAACCTATAGATAACATGATCTTGAAAATTGCACTATTTTTAATGTAATACCTGCATATTTTTAATAAAAAAAATAAATCATCAAAAAAGATTAATTTAACTCTGTACATGATTAAAATATGAGATAAATTTATACAAATTTCGTAAACATAAACAAACTAATTAACGTATCATATTAACAAATGTATGAATAAGCAAACGCTGACGTACTATAATCACGCCATATCGCCTCAAGTTTCGCGGCAACCTCGTTCTTATATAAAGGCACCCGAGATCCTAATTCCGGCATAACACATTTTTTTGTAAATCATTACTTTGGTGAGTATGAAACAATCAACTATAAATTTTCGGTAGGACTTTTTCATATTAAATAATGTTATATTTTATTTCTTCACTTTTAGTCTACACTTTGCTTTCTAAAAAACCAACAAAAAACCAAAAATGGGCGCTGAAAAGGTATCCATGAACATCGTTGTCGTCGGACAAGTCGAATCTGCCAAGGTCATCAAGACCGTCGCCAAAGCTGCACCAAAAATGAGCCCATTGACAGTAAGTACAAATATAAATTTATTTCACACTTTCTAACAGTTTTAGTTATATAATTTGAATTACTACTTATTTTTTTTTTCGAATTTGCCATGATTATGATTTCAGTTGATGTTTAATTTTAAAATTTACAATTTTATACCATAAAACTAAAATTAATTTTTCTTAATTTTGTGTTCTAATAAATTAAATTCCATATGATTTTATTTTATTTTCCCTATAAAAATTATCGTTATAAAAAATAATCTTTTTCTTTTTTTTTTTCAAGTTTTAGAGATGTATTTTAAATTAAATTATATCAATACTTATTTCTTTCAAATATTTCGTAGTTATATTTTTAGTGACTTTAAATAATTTATTTCAAAAAACAAGATTATTAAATTACTATAATTAACTAATTAATTAAGAAAAAGTATTGGGATTGGATAATATTGAATACATAATACATACACAAAGATATAAATGTAAGTTTAGTAAATATTCATAAATTACTTAAGTTAATATGTTTTCAATTATAAATATATCTAATTAAAATTCGTATAAATATATTAATTTAATTTTTTTATAATGGTATGAATTTATCTTATAAAAAACATCAGTTACGACTATTACAAAAATTAATATTTTATATAAGTTACTATACTACAATTATATGTATATTTTAAAATTTCATAAAATCCTAACATTGTTATAACCAAAAATGTATTACAATCATAAATATGTCCATATTTTAAACTATTGTGTGGCATAATTTATGTCTCATATTATTTCCAATGTCAATCAATTCTATCAAAATACTATACTCCTAGTATAACCATAAAAACGGTATTGTCGTTTATTGCATAACACATTTTTCAAATTTTGTTTTTATTTGTTTCAGAATTGTTAACTCTTGTAATCCATAATATATAAATTCAAAAATGCCATAGTCCAAACAGTACGTGTATATGAATATGTATAATATGTATTAACATTTCAAAATATATCAGGCTTTTCCGTTATTTATATTGTTTTTTTTACTTCTATGAAATAATTTTCACTCTCCGCACTTTTTCCTTTATTTACTGCTCTAATTTGTGTTAGAAATAATATGGTTTGTATAAGGTAACCAAATTTAAATAAATGTTATACTGATTACAATATTTATAACTTTGTTAAAAAAGTTATACTTACATAACGCTGGAACTGTATGGATGTCTGCCATAAATACGAGTATATAATTATTTGCATACATATCTATTCTTGGTTTATATAAATATAAGTGGGAACTAATATTATAACATTAAATGTAAAGCTGGTTACACCATAGATCTTTTAATCAGTATAGAGATCTATGGGTTACACACTACGACTACCTTCAGACGGTGACTGTTCGATTAGATTTTTTCACGTGCGGGTTTTGATACATAGACATAGCATTTTCGGCATTCAACACACAATTGTTATCATAGATTCACGTGTTCCACTAATTTTTTATTGGTATAGAAATGTTTATAAGAAATGTTTGGTACATCGAAGATTCTGGGTACATACTCTTTTAGAGAATTGTCCATGACATGAAAAACGTTTTGAAAAATTTGACTTAAACCTAACTGAGAACAGAAATTTTATAATTATTTTCGTGTTTTGATGGCTAATTTTGACAATCTATTATGTTGAAATACTATTGTCTTCCATTTTAAAGAGCTTAATAACAATAATAATATGCGTCAAACATACGACTGAACGGATGAACGTAATGAATGAATTCGATGACATTTTGTTCATGTAAACGATATGAAGCAAGCCCTGCTTAATCACGTATACGATAAAAATACATTCGAGATTTATCGAATCGTAGTGACAAGTTCGTACGGTATACGAAAAAAATATTTCACGAATACGGAATTTTCCTGCGTGGGCTTCATGTGAACGTACAAATATAACATGCTGCTACCACTGCTCTTTTCGATAAAATCCCGTATGCGAGAAAAATATCGTCGTCTGAACTTAGCCTACGGCAGAGATTCACACCCAGGGTACCGCGAGATTAAATTTAGCGTGCCACATAAATATTTGAAATATATATTTATTTTTAAACGCCTTCATGAATAATATAGCACTGTGAGTAATAAAATAAACTATACTTTATGTGTATAGTATAAAACCTATTGTGTATAATTAATTAGGTATTTACAATATAATTTAATGAATTAATAATTAACACATATAATTTTTACATAATAATACTGAGATGTTCAATCTATTTCAATTTTCATACTGGTTAGATTGTTATCGATTAGATATAAACTGTTTTAAAATTATTTAAGTTGAAATACTTGTGACTTATCTTACACTTATCTTTATTGTTTATTAATGCTAAATAAAACCGAAGTTACAAAATATAAATTTAAATATACGTATTAGTATTGCGTATTCAGTATAAACTATAGAGAATAGGGCATAGGCTATAGGGTGCCTCCAAATTTTAAGAAAATAATAAAGGGTACCGTGATTCAAAAAAGGTTGGGAACGTCTGGCCTACGGGTTTTAGACGCTAGCGTACGCGTTTTAAAAATGCAGCATTTAAACGCCGAAAAATAAAACCGTATGGTTCACATACAGACTATCACGGAACCGTACGTGTTCGTTAAACACGTAGTGTGTAACTAATTATTATTCAGACTTTATTAATATTTGGATTGTTTAAAATGTATGTAAAGAACTTTTTTACATACATTTTTACTAAAATCGAAAATATATGTATTTCAATCACAAATATTTCCTAGAAAAAAGCATTATTACATTTAAGGTAGTACAGTGTAACTGTAAAAAATCTTTGAAGACTATAGTTTAATTAAAAAGTATGACTGTTTAATCTTGAAAAGCTATGAGAAAATTTGGTTGGATGCTATGCCCCCGCAGCACCTTCTATTTGTAATTGTGACTTATGTTTGTTAGAAAATACAGTTAAAATTAAAAAGTATTCGGAGTATGCGGATAAGCATTAACCATATAGTAATAATTTATGTTATTAACAGTATTTGTACTTTAAAATATAATTTCTTTCAATATTTCTTCTTCTTTTTTTGACTTTTACAGGCCATTTAGGTACATTGCCGCAACAACCAAATGCCTCCCAAATGCCTAGCTTCAGCTAGTTCTTTTCCGTCGTTTACTCCCAATTTCGATGCATCTTTTATAATCTTATCTTTCCACCGCTGTCTGGGTCGTCCTCTCGGCCTACTTGTGTCTGGCTTCAAGCTCGTGGCCAATCCTATAGGGCCTTCGGACCTCCATATATGTCCAACACATTCCAGTCTACTATTCTTAAGGACTCCAATTATATTTATTTCACCATATAGTTTTTTCAATATTTAAACTGTAAATATATATCATAAACATCAATGACTTTTTAATCACCTTTATTTTATGCTCTTTAGAATCATTGGTCCCCCTTTAATATTAAAACATATATCTGAGCTTGTATGGTACAATATTTTCGACATTTGATTGTACATTATTAACTTGTTTCGCTAAAAATTTAAAAGCAACTACCTTATCTGCATTTGAACCGCACCTCAGGGAAACTCGTACAATATTTTTAATAAAATGTAAATACATTTTAAATAATACAAAAAAAAATTGTTGTTGGCTTTATATGGATAACTCATCCAAGTATCCAAGCTTACTTTATGTACATAAAAGTTATTATATCCAACGATGAATAACAAAGAATTATAATCTTAAATTCACTCTACAAACAACTTCAACAGTTGTTATAAAAATTTAACCAAGAAAATTATTTATCTGTGAACTAATTTTTACAAACTATAAAAATGTCATCTACAGTTGGTTCTAAAGACAGTTTATCAGTTCAAAGCAACATTCTCTCCCACGACAAAGATAGCGTAAACCTTTTACCAACAAATTCTTCGTTCAAAAATTACGATCTCAAACCGATGAAGGAGGAAACGATACCCAACACAAACAAAGAAGTAGAAGAACAAACTCAAAGACAAAAAGTGATCCAAAAAATAATTCAGGTGCAAGCGGAAGATGTCAAAAAATGCCTATTATCAAAATCTGAAAAATATTCGGAAGACATTAATGACAATGAGTTAAAAAACATGATGGAAACAATCAAGGATTTGACGTACGATGTGCAAAATCTTCGTTGTATTGTAAGTGAATATTACTTAATCAATTTAACAATTAATATTTTAATTCGTCATCATTGCAGACATTTGATTTGACCAAAAATACACGTGCTCGAAATCTTAGTGCAAGTAAATCCACTTCGACATGTCATGTTGAAACTGAAAACTTTTGTGCAGTAGCGAAAGTGAAATCAAGTGAATTCCAAACTAAAAAGACGTACTGGGATGAGAAGATCAAATCATTATCGGATAAACCAAGAAACGTTTCGGGTTGTAAAGAAAAATACAACCCGGTAAGAAATGTACCGAAAACGACAAGAACTCGGTCGATGTCATGTGACTTAACACCTGCAAATTATCAACCGAATACTTTAGGAGAAGGAAACGATGCAGAAGATTTCTGCCCGATCATATCATCTGAAATGTTTGAAATCAATAGCACTCGTATGCAGTCGGAAGAAAACAGACAGATTTGTTTAGACGGGGAGTTAGAGATATCTTTGGTAGATTCAGTTTTGCCGTGCGTTCAGGCGTTGATGCAACAAAGCGAAATGTCGAAAATTGAAGCTGACCACAAGAAACTAGAAACTAAAATCCACCTTAACAATATCAAATTGTACAAGTTAATGATGTACATAAACGAGTTAATATCGATTAATGAAAAACATCGACAAACAGACGCCACTATCGATGATTCAAAATATACCGATAGCTATAAGGAATCGGATAACGTAGGATGCAATGCGCCTGCTGTTACGGATTCTACGTGCACTTTTCCCGAATGCGTTTGCCGTTTAATAGAAAGTAAGAATGTCGTAACGCAGGTTGCCAATGATTCGCACAGCAATTGCGAAAACAACGATCAATCGCAACATTTGTACGAATCATTTAAGCAGACCAAACAACGCACGGATACATTCGACAGTGTGCCAATAGAACCAAATCCATGTCCCCCACTAAAAAACTTACTAGAAGAAAAAATGAATCGCAGCAGAGCTAAACGTTTGACAAAATCAAATAATTTGTATAAAGTAAATGATGAGCAATGTATCCAGAAGGAATGTGATCAAACGACTGAATGTTGTACACATTGCCGTGTGCGGTCAATTTTGGATAGGATCACATCAATAAATCAGAATGATCAACTTCTATCATTGATGAATAAATGCAGAGGAAAAAGATGAATCATTCAAATTAATAAAAAAATTAATAACTCTTTGTGTCATTACAGTTGTACATAATATAGTTTCAAAAATATTGATCACGAACGTATCATAAAGAAAAAACGAATATTAATTGAAATATCATTATTCTAAAAAATATCCGTAGCAGAATTTAAGCAAAAAAGGCTATATTCGATTAGTGTTAATTTAAAATATTTCTTCTGGGTTATTAAAAATATCAGTTCGATATTTTATACAAATGGGTAGAACACCATTGCGTACGTTTGTAGATGGATAAGAAAAATAAATAAACACGATTGCGTATGAAATTATATACAACGTTGTCAAATTTACTAATTTCATTAATAAATTGTAAAAATATTAAGAGATCAACAAAAAAAAAAATCAAGAATCAAAAAAATCAACAAAAAATAAATATAACCGTTCTATAATAGTTCATAAAAAAAATTAATAATAAAATATTAAATAAAATATGGATAACTAAATAAAAGAAAATTAATTAATAAATAAATAAAATCAACAGTTTTTATTTAAATGTAATTGTTGTTAATAAATTATTTGAAAATGCTCAAATTTGGATTCCTTGACATCTATAACCTACTACTTTTACCAAAACTCAGAAAATACCGTATAATATAACGGAAATAACGAAATTTCGTTATATCTGATTATATTTGATATCATTAACAATAATATAGGTAATAAAAGCAATGAAACACAAAGTATTTATTACATCTTTTAAGTTTGTATAGGCATGTGGTATACATTAATACCGGTATGAAAATTGGCATCAACGTTTAAAACTTCGTTCGCAATCGTGTAACTAAAAATCAAGTAAAATCGTACGGAATCGTGAACTTAAAAAAGGTATCACCGATAACAAACGTACGCGTTTTACCCATACAAATATGATAACCATAATTGTTTCATTGTTTTCGTTCATTAATCGCATAATTTTTATTAATTCATATTAAATTTCAAAACTTTTCGTGTCATAGATTTATTTTTGACATTTTAAATACAAAGAAAATTAAATACAAATCTCATTTTACTGTTATTGTTTGTCACCTATAGATAAGGTTGACTGTTACCTATGTAATACTGCATACTCAATGAAGTGGTACAATATGCGATATTTATGAAGACTTCTCTTCCCCTCTCCAAAACATGGATTTTATTATTTTATTCGTCAAATAACATCTTAAATGTGAGGTAAATACTTATAAAATATTTCTTATCCAACTCTCATATTAATGGATGAGTGACATTGTCCTCTCATTGGTCACACATTTTGGACCTTTGATATGTCACTCAATGTCTCTAAAATTAAAAAAATATATGTGACACCAACGATACGTAATAAGAAAACATAACATAAAAAATTGTGGTGATATTTATTTGTAAGTTAAATGTACCTCATCAATTCATATAGTTTTCACATTATTTTTATATACTATTTAGACATTATTATATTTTATATAAACATATAAATAAATAGTTTTTACATGGAAATAAATAATTTAATGCGTAACCTGAAGTATTATTATATGTATAATGTACAACCGGTTTCGAATTAAAAATTCATAAGCAGGTATATATGTTACCGGAAAAAATGACAATCAGTCAGCATTGACAATGACTAGTCAATAACGATAATGCCTGCTTTAGCAAGGAATTAACGTCAATACCTAGTCATTGATGACAATTCCTAATAAAAGAAGGCATTGATGATAACATTAAAAATGAATTTGATATATTTTAATACTTATTAGCTATGTAGGATATATCATAATCTTAATCTTTATTTTTACGTGGTAAACTACTCGTACTATGACACTTGAAATTATATAATCTAGTTACTAGTTACTAATATATAGACCAGCGGTTCCCAAACTGTACTCCGCTGAGCCCTTGGTGCTCCGCAATGGCTTGGCTAAGGCTATGTTTGTAACACCACAAAAAATTTAAAAAAATATTCTTTATTTAAAATTAATATATATTTCATGAAGACTTGAATGCCATAATACACCGATATGTATACTGCGTAAAACCCCGATTAGAAAAATTGTATTTAATTTTAGAATTTGATAATATGAAACGACGATATTTCGAAACGACCCTGATGACCGGTCCGTTGTTTACTATGCGTATGTAAACGACCAAGTGTATTTTTACTGAAAAGGAACGGTGGTTTATAACAGGCTCCATAAGACCAGAAAATCGTCTGCCAACAGCTATTGTTCAGTCGAAGAAAGATAACAATAGTTGTAGTAAAAATAATTCTTTAGAATTACATTCGAAACATATTGTACATGGTTCTACTTTAGAATCTACAATAGCTGTGATGTAGATATTCGGAAAGGAAGCAAAAAACGAAAATATTGAGATTCATATTTAGGTATGGGATTCACTGAATTTGCTTATGGACATTCTCAGCGTGTAATATGTAACAAAGTTTTGCCTAAAAGCTCAATATTCCCTGCTAAGCTTAAACGATATTTTGAAACACATCCTGATTTCACGAATAAAACTGCAGACTATTTAAGAAAAAAATTATAAGCTCCATCCAACTCAGAAAACGTTTGTATCTCATATAAAGACACATTCCGAAATAGCACTGAAAGCATCGTACTTAATAAGTTATGAATTGATTCTTGGTGGCAAACCTCACACCCTCTCTGAAACTCTTATAAAATCACTAATAGTGAATGTAGTGAAATGCATGGCAGACGAAAAAACCGCGAAATGTCGACAGTAAAGTTATGACATGTTTTTCAACGACTTCAAACTTTTTACAAGAAAATAATTTAACAGTGAATGAATCATTATTAGAAATAATTAAAGAATACCTAAATTATTTGCTTCAAAATTTGAATTTATACTTTCCAAAAGATGCCCAAGAATCAATTCAAAAAAATCAGGAGTGGATACATCCATCTCAATACAGCAGAATCGAGGTTTTCATTGATATTATAGCTCGGTTAGAGGAAGATCATTCAATATTAAGTACAAAAGCAAATCTACTTTTACTGCCTTTTGATACTACGTATCTTCGTGAAATGGCTTTTTGTATACAGCTACAAAAACAAAATGTCGAGCACGTTTGGATGCAGTAAACGATATTTGTCTTCAACTGACTTCTGTGACACCGGACATCGACAAACTCAGTAGTAAAAAAACAGGCCCATTGCTCACATCAAGACTTGTATATGTAACGTTGTATTACTTTTAAATACTCATTTTACAATAATACCTAATATAATACGGAAATGTTGATAAAACTACGAAATATTCAACATTGCCTAACTTTCCAGTCATTGTCAACAATGACTAGGATATACCGACAATTCCTGAATTTTCATCTTTTCCGGTAACATTAGTCAATAAAATCACGACTAAATATGAAAAAATAAAGGAAGGAATACATTGAGAAAAATTGGTAATTTTACATAGATGTAGTTTATTTTAATGGGAAAGATTATTTAATTATTTATTATTATCTAAAATATATCAATATTAATATTTTTAAAATTGGTTTGTATATTTAGAATATTATTAACATTTTTTTTTGTATTATTCTTAAAATTAAATTTAAATTTAAATTCTTATATTTTTTATGAACATCGTCGAATTTCTCAATAAATAACATAATTTATAAGTCTTCAATGACCATGCCTGCCGAAGCTTAAGTTTAATAAATAAATAAAAAAAATATAATAACTAAAATATTTATATTTCTAAACATATCTATGTCGAATAAGAACTAATTTAAAATAATCTCTCGTAAAACTACAAATTTTTTCTACATGTATATTTTTATTTTTTTCAGTCACGATTTTATTGATTTTGTGTGTATCTCGTGATACATTTTTATTTTGAAACCGGTCATACATATAATAATACTCCAGGCTTCGCAAAACCAAAACCAAGTAGGTACGTTTATTTTAAAATAAAACACACTTTCAAATATAATACAGTATTTGGTTTTAGTTATTAATAACTGTATTTATTAAGCAGGAGTCTACATAACAAATAAATTGTACCTTCATTTTCTTATTACCCATACAAATCGATGTAACTTTTCACATTTTAGTATCTCTAAATCTAAATTCTGTAAATTTGTTTTCCTCGGTTTTTTGTCGTTTGTTTTTTTTTTTTTTTTTCAATTAATAACTAATATTTTCACTAAAAAATTAAAATATTCTTCATAAATGATAACAAAAATTATGTGTTTGAATGGATAGAATCCTGTAAAAAATACTATAATGAAGAAATTGAAAGGAACATATGTCACGAAGATCAAGGTATTCATATCGAAATCGAAGAAAATGTATACCAGCCAAGAAAATCGGAAGCAAAGCACAATAATTATTTTGACACTCCTCGATTATAATGCATTTAAAAAAGAAAAAATTGCTGTTTAATTGATTAAGGATGGCCAAAGGTTACAAACTAAACATATACAGACGCATTAAACTACAGTTGATGGAAGTGATCTACGGCATAAGAAATCTGAAATTCAAATAATAAAAGTTTTACTAATATGTCACGAACTTAAAATTAGTAATATTATATAAAAACTTATAAGTAAATTTAGGTAAATAAATTTGTTTCATAGCATAATGATTTAAGCAATTAAACTCTTTAAGTGCATATTTCCACATTTATCATTTTATTTTTTATTTTAAAGGCTTATTCTACCATTTTAATTGCATATTACATTCTTAACAGCATATTTCAATGTTTTTTTTTTTTTTTTAGACATTTTTGAAATATGTACTAGATATTATAATATAATATATTTGTGAAAAATGTAAAATATCATTATCAAAAAAATAAAAGCTACGTATAATTTTAAATGGTGAAAGTGAATCAATTCAATTCAGCAAATAATAAACCAGTGAAAATTTATCAAATTAAATTATATTAGGTATATTTTTTTAAATACGCACCATTACTTCAGTTGATGTGAAAGGTCATTTTCAAGATATAACGATTTGTTGACTGACAAATGTCGATTAGAGATTTTTGAAAACATAGCTAAAATTACTGTCATACAAAGCAATTTACATTTTGGTAAAAAAAATTGATATTAAGATACATTTCTAATATTAATTAATTTTTTTTTCTAATGGATAAAAACTACCGACAAAATGTGTAAATAAATTCCTTAAAAAGAAGAAGAAAAAAGTATGCAATGTATGTTTTTATATATTATTTTAATTGAATGTTAAAAAAAATATTTTTTTTTTTTTTTGATAAATGTTGAGTGCATATAGTTTTTCTTTCATATTTTAACACTTTAGTGCATACATTTGTGCATATTTGGTTTTTTTTTAATGCATATAAATCCACATTTTAGTTGTTGATTCCGGCATCGTGTTTTTGTTCAGCTTCTATATGTTTGTAATTTAAATGTCAGGAAAAATCAGAATTCTTGCTGTCGACCTATTATATGGTTAGTGGAAATTGTAATTTATAAGAAAATTGTTGTAAACGATAACCTTTACTGATGCAAGTTGGTATACTACTTTTTATTATTTCCACTATCGATTAAACATTGCATAGCAAACATTTCGTTGCCAATGGTAAATACTCATCATTTCGTTCTAAACGGACATTACATTACAATATTATTTTTTTTTCTACATTTTTAATATACTAAATAACATTTTATACTACTTAATCAACGGAACAATTATTTTTCATTCATCACTTAAAATGAAATAATTTCCTTTATCTAATCTATTTCTTAGAAACCACTTCCAAAACTTTGACAATTTTTTTTTTTTCCCTGTAACTAAAATTCTACTTTTTAAAGAAAAATTAAATCTCCTAGATAAATCCCACCATAAAGATAGTGTACCTACTGTAGTTATTCTTTTGATATATATAATAATGTATGTATAATAATGAGACATATAATTTATCTAATAAATCAAGTTTATTTGTGTCATTAATTATATGATATAAGTCTAATTAACAAATAAACATATTTATCATACAATAGTATAATATAATATAATATAAATATAATAAATATAATATAATATAAAAAAACATACTATATTACGCTTCTAGGCACTATAGTTATTTTTATTACAAAACATAAAAATAAAAATAAATATTTATCAGAAATAATAATTTATTGGCATGAAATTGTTGGAAAATTTTAATATCAGTTTATTTTTAAATAACTTAATTAAAACCTAACTATAAAAAACAAGAGCAACAGTATGTAAATTAAAATTAAGTATAGTGCAATACAATGTTATTCATAATAATTTTAACATAATAATAACTACGAGTACACCAATACCATAGTAAACATGTCCAGCAAACGTTACCCATTATGATTCATACATTTTTAAATAATACAATCATTAAGCTAAAAACTTATAATTATAGCTCATTAAACCCAGGATAAAAAAAATACTTTAGTTGTAATTTACATCATAATAACTTCAGCTCGTTTTAACTGGATGGAAATATCACTCTTTTATGTTTTTAGAAACATTTAAAATGAGATACTTGGAGAATCTTATTTGTAATTTTTTTTTTTTTTTAGAATCTCGTAACACACGACAGTGTTAAATTATTATGACTTATAACTAGGGTAGAGGACTTGTAACATTTGCATATTTGTTTTGCACAGTCACAAAAATAGCAGAGTACAAAACAAATACGGTTCATGTTTTCACAAAGCTAGTCTTAACATTTTATTTTGCATATAAATGCATATTTCGAATTTTTTGTTTTAAGTATATATTTCTTCGATTTAATGCTTTTATATGCATATTTCAAATAGTTTATAATTTATCAATACTTTTCCATTGACATTTTTATTTCATCTAATATACGCCAAAATATTGTTGAATTAGAAATCATTTTAAATTTTGATCATATAATATGGTTGTTGAATGTCGCAAACACATGTTTTCCTAAAAATACGCTCAAGGATTGCCCATAAGATAAATTTTATTTTTAATCAGTAAACACGTATTCTAAATCACATAATTTCCGATGGAACATTAACGATTCTATAGATAATACCAAAAAATTTCATAGAACTGACTTATGTCATTCGTTGTTCGTTAATAATTTAATATTTTAGTCATTTAGTCAGTTCTGCCGTCTGCGTATATGCGTCTATTCGTAATTTGAGTCAACTTTTCGTCTTTTCGTACTGTTTTAACATTAAAATGCCGAAGATAACATTATTTTAACAGTTGGCCAAAGGAGTTATTTATCGGACTTTGTCGACGTGTTAGCGACTAACGATTAAGTCCCACACTCTAAGTGTTACGACGTTAAAGTAGGATGTGAAAAACGATTTAATTTTACACAGTAAATGATTTGAATGATTTATACATTTTAGTGCATATTATAGGGAATCTATTTAAGTGCATAGTTGCTTGCATACTCAGTGCTTTTTTAGATATACAAGCCCTCCGCCCTTCTTATAACAAATCTGAATCGTTTTTGTTTTCCTTTTTCTATTTTTTTAAGTCTTAAATACGTAAACATAGTATACAATGATTATGACACAGCCAAATAAAAATAAAATCGCATTGCAACTCAAACGTGCGCAAACGCTAGTACGATGATTGAAAGCAACGCGGTGATGAAAACGACGCTCTGGATACTGGACGCTTTGCTCTGGTCGTGACATACTTCACTGCAGCCGTCCGGCCCGAGGTACTCTTTGAATCTGTCTTCAATAAATTTCCACGAGCACAGCCCAACGTTGCAGCCCTGGTAGTCGTACACGCCCTCGTTCAAGTAGAACATCACTTTGTTCTCTTCGTCGCCCTGGTCGCACCTACGTACACAAAACGAGTATATAATCGAGACTGATCAACGACAACATACCGCCGTACATGGCCCCATGGTGGTACAAAACGTTTGAAAAGTTTGAAAGAAATATGAACCGGAAACTATTAATATATTTATATATATAAATGTATATGTATATTATTCGATGTCGATTGCATTTTACCAAAACCGTAACTAGGGTGAGGCGAGCGAGGCACTTGCCTTGGGCGCCTGAAAATGGGGGGCGTAAAAATATTATATAAATAACTTATTTTAAGAAATATTATTTCTTGTTTTGCTAGAAACCTAATTAAAATTTTTCAGATTTTTTCGAATCGTATTATACATATTAAAAGCTGTGAGTGTGACAACTCTACAACCTAGGGGAGCATTGCTTTAGGTCTGCCTCAGTACGGCTCTGCATTTTACATGAACCATTAAGTTAATACTGCATGTTAGTCGATTTCGGAAACATCGAATAAACTAGATCAGATCTATAGTTGACATTATTAACGGTTATTTTTACTCTTTTTGAAAACATTTAAAAATGTAATATCGAATAATATTATATGCGTTTCGATAGGATTTTTTTTTAAGGTAACAACACAATATTATTATTTTTTTCCAAATTTATACAGCTAATAAATTACGTTTACCATAAAATAACGCTGCTTTTTTTTTAATATTCATTTGAATAATTACTTAAGCTAGAAAATTTAGTTGGTTTTAGTTTTAACATTTGTGCTTACTTGTAAAACACGGCAGCCAAATTTGCGGAAAACGGATCCACTTGTGACATTCTCCACTGACGACGATACTGAGAATGGTAATTAGAATGGGTCAGTGGAACTGAGTCTTTCGCCACGCCCAACGCCAACAACGTGGTTAACAGTCCAGCAGAGGTACCGAATCTAAACACAGCCGAAGGTCTTTCGACATCGTCTTTTGCCACAGCACTATGAAAAATAAATAAATAAATAAAAAACCGGTCATAATCAAATATACCCTAAATCTGTTATTATGCTGGTGGATACGCTTAAAATCTCACTTTAAATATTCTATTAGTTCTCGAATGATAGGACATCCCACCTTTGAGTTTATGTCGGAGCCGTATCCGTATTTATAGTAATAGTCCAAATCCTCGTGATACTCTAGAAGCTGGAATAGTGTCATTAACAAAATACAAATATTAAGAAAACAAAGGGCAGTGATTTGAAAATGTTAAAATGTTTATTGATTCGTTCGGAAGACGCAACGTACTTGTAGTTCTTGTCTAGTGAACAAGCCACACCACACCGGATAAGATTTGAGTACCAACGCCTTGTTGTACCGACATGATTCGTACATTGCATATATTATATCTGCAACAATCGCGTCGCGTTAGACCAATAAGAATAATGACCGCTACAACTCGTGTGCTTACCATCAGTTATATTGTCTAGAAAACCTAGCCTTTTACTTATTTGGCTCACCAAGTTCAAGTATTCGGGTGTCTTGCGAAACAGTGAAGCTTCGGAATTTCGAATCTCATTCGTCCATTTAGGACAGCTTTCCAACTAAAAGCACAGTTAAAAGTATCAATATAAAATTAGAAACGTAAATCAAAAAACGAAAACAAAAACAAATAATACCCCAATGAAAGTTGAATTGTTTTCGACTTTTTCGATCTGGACTTTACTCTTAAAACCTTCTCCGAACATGGCTTTAGAAAATTCTTCAGCGCTATTCATAACTTTTCGATCTTCATTAGAATAAATCTAATGAATAATAATAGAAAAAAATATTAAAAATTGTTCGTATAAGAATCTTAGTTTTCACTAATCATTTCCTTACTTTAAATGTATTTTGATTGATTTCTTTCACAAAAACTTCACTCATTTTGTCTTTGGTTCTTTTCGCCATTAAGTTCATGTCCATTCTTCCCTGCGGTGAAATATCGTCTTCCGAAGTAGGATTAACTTCAAATTCCCATCGTTTTAGACTGTCTAGTACGTTTTTACATAAATGTCCGTCTATACAGAATAAGAAGATCATTAATTCATTTTTGACTTTTAAAAATTAAAAACATTAAACTTACTTCCACGTTCTTCGTGGTTTTTTATCACTCTATCCTTAAATAGATGCAACTGACGAATAGCTAGAGACTCATTGGTATTCGGATAACTTGTGCCATGCCTAATATACATCCACATGAAAGTCGGACGGCAATCTGAATTGAAAAAATAATTTACTATCATATTCATTGTAAATATTAAAATTGTGATGATTGTCTAGATAAAATGTAAAATTTTTCGATTTTTGCCTTGTATTAATGTTTTTAACTTTAAACGATGATTATTATTACACTCTTATCAAGTCATCTAAAAACGAACCAATTCGTATAATTGTTTATACATTCTATATTTTCAAAATTAACTTTGATGTAATACATTTTTATATAAAAATATTTTGTATTCTAAGTAGTTATATAATATGTTTTGCAATAGTTAGTTATGATTGTTTTAAGAATAATTAAACCATCGTAATAATCATACAAATATTCAACCATAGGTATAAACTTTATTTTGGATAAATAGTCAGAAATTGGAAGTTTTTTTATCCAATAGGTGTGCACTGTACCAATTTTAATAAAGTTGTAATTAATTCAATAAATTCAGTAACTTTAAAAATTAAAATAATACATACCAAAAAATTGCCAAATTTTTAAATCAAAATAATTATACCGTGGTTTGCATACTCTTTTAAAAAAAATTGATAGTTAATTCTTATAATAGTAGTTATAGAACTACAACAACATATTTGATTTTATCCATCAAAACAGATTCAAATTTTTTTTCAAAATGTGTTCCAAACAGGTGTGGGTGGGTGGCCATAACTATTCAGGCCCTCCCAAAATGTTGCGTTTGGGCCTCAACCTAAAATCTCTCATGTAACATAGGTCGCTTATTTATTAGTTAGTAAAACTTATACTCGCCCGGGCCTTCAGGACTTCAGTCCACCTTTAATTTTAAATAAACATATTTTAAATGTTAATATTTATTTTTATATAATATTATGTGTTCTAAATCATGTTCAATCATTTCTTGACAACCTTTCCCCGTATGTTCAGCTTGTCACGTACCGTATGCTAAATAGTAGATTAATTTATATTGAATTGACAATAAATACAAAATTATGCTCTTGCTTTGGAAATTATCTACTCAGAATTACAGTTTAGTTTTCGTTGTAACACCGTATAGTCATTTACAAAATATCGAAAAATATTATTTTTTTAATGATTTTTTTAAGCTTTTTTTAAAAATGTATACAGCTTTATTGCTTTTGTCTTAGTGTTATTTTTTAATTTTTTATTGTTTTAAAATCCGTACTCTAGTAATGAGTATGTAATACATTATATTCTCGATTAATTAGAACCAAGAAGAAGAACAACAACAATTAACTACATATTTTCTTTAAATAAAACTTACAGGGTACCGGTTTGAATTTGGAGTTGTATATCAGCTGATAGGCAGTCTTGTGCGAAAAATACAGGTACGGATCCGACTCGGTTGGTTCATAGCACAATTGGCCCATGGACGGAGTGAACAGGAGCGCTAGCAACAGCAGTAACCCTGACGGTTGACCCTTCATCTTGTCGTCGTCGTAATCGTCTACGGTCGGTGAACGAAACAATTATTATTCTCACAACTGCTTAAATTGAAATTCTAGACGAGTCGTACTACATGGTTGCTCGTTTTGTTCACGTCATTGTGTCGGTATTTACAGAAAATATCTCGATTAGCGAAAGCCTTTATACATGCATATTACGGTAGATATACGTGCACGCATTGTCTAAGTGTAGCTACGGGAGGACAAAAGCGGAGAATTTGATATCCATGCGCTCGTGGGAAATAGATAGCGAATTATTTGCGATAGTATATTATTACTGTAGTAATACGTATATAAGATATTACCGGACAATAGGAAGTGTATTGTGTTGTGACCGTAATACGTATAAATATCAAAAAAAAAAAAAAAACAATTGCAGCCAAAAAGCGCTGCTGCGCACTATTACGAAACTGTACGAAAACTGCTGTGCTGTACGCGAAGTACGGACGACGCGCTACTCGTTTGTCACGGGTGCGTTTTAATGCCAACGCGTTACAACGGTAAACGTCAGTTGGTTTTCATTATTGAATTGATTGAATCGTGTCCGGCAGAGTTTTTAAGCGGAGTAGGTATTTGGTAATTTGATTCATAAACATAACGGTACAACGATATGATATGATATAATATTTGAAAACGCCGAATTCGTTTCGTTACTCAGATAACGATACGCGATGATCAACTCTGAGTTCGACCTCAGAGAAAGTGTACATCACGAACTAATGACAATCAAAAGTAGTATTGCGACCAAAATTATTTTCGGTCATTATAACGTTCCGTGTTAACGGAGGAAGGTCGTTCGCGATAAACAACGTATTGTGTTTAATTTATGCATCGGTTTCGTACTACACGCGTTAGATATCATATAGGACGTACGCCATGCTTATGTTTTTCAATCGGGACATTTATTATTTAAAAATAGATCAGGCGTTTTTTTTTTTTATGCATTTATTTGTGTTTAACGTTTAATAAATAATAATAGTAACATTGCTTTAGCAATTTTTTTCCCCCCGCCTGAATAGGCGATTGTTCATACTTTATTTATTTATTTATTTTTACAATGTTTTGTTTGATAATTTTTAAAAAAAAATTATTACCATGTTTAATTAACAGTGGATGACATTTTTTCCATATGAATCAATATTTAAAACAAAATGATTTCGCTTTTAAACAATACTCGATAACACTTGAAAAAAACACATATTGAATCCGAATAACCTACGATTCGTATATGTGTTATACCTTTCCACGAACAAAGGTTTACACTAATCAAAGTATGTCCTTGAACCACAAATCAGTGTTAGGTAAGGTTAGGTTAGTTGTGTTAGTAGCCAAAACGGAACTAAAATTGGTATACATAGTTTTAGCTCGAGAGTGTGCAATTCAAATTATTTCTAATCGTAAAAAGGGTGAAATATTTTAGAACCAGGCGTTTTAGGAAACCAGGCGAAATATTTTAGAATATTATTAAGTACATTGTTGACGGTGCTCAGAATAAAAAATTGATCAGGTTTCATGATTTTTAATAACTGAGAATGAGTAATGGTCATTTTAATGTCACTAAATAAATCGGAAACTTGTATTCAAAAACAGATTACATATTTTTGAGAAGCAATACCATCTAAGACAAAACTGGAAATTACATTGTTTCCATAAAACTTCATGAATTTCTTACGAATAAATAAATAATTTTATTGTTTTGTCCTTGGACAAAATTTTTCTGCCATTATAATAATATTTACAAATATAAAAAATTAATACTATAGTTAATATTTTTTAGAAAAATAAATGTTTTAACCATTTAACAAATAATAATTGAAAACTTTAATATATAAAAAAAATATTACCATATTATAAAGATACTTGCTCAATAAATGATCATAATAAGTCGGTAAAAAAATAAAATTGTTCTTGCTACGTACAACAATTTTGATATATGTCCGTTCAGGCACGGATCAGACAACTTGATTTATACGAGATAGTCACATGTATCTACGTGGGGTGTGTTTATATTATCGAAGTAAAATCAGTGTCACTAATTCGTGGTTCTCGGATGTGACTACTTTCTTAAGTGTCTTTAGTGATCAATGGGAAAAACGCCGATGCAAGTCAATTAAAAAAAAAAACCATTGTTATCGTACTGTATACTATAATACAGAAATAATAATATGATCAGATTAAATTTAAGTTACTTCATAGGTACGAGTTGAAAAAAAAAATATGATTCAGCTATACATACATGTATACATGACGTGCGTTAAAAATTGATTTATCTGAATACTTATTGTCAGTTATCAATTTACTGTGGATTATTTTTGAATACATAAACTGAACTCGGAACCCGAAATCGGCTAGTTTACAATCGTTAAACTAATAAAATAATGAATTCGTCGGAAACGGAAAACGATGATAAATTCAGCATAGAGAAAACTATAAACAATAATAACAAATAATAGTCGGAAAATAGTAGTCTGATAAATATTATTTTCTCTGAAGTTGTAGGTAATTCATAAATTATGTCTATTACTGCATTCCATAAAGCAATGCAGAACTCAAAAATAGAAAATATAAATATTAATAAATCTGTTTCGCTATATAAAAAGTTAATATTATTCTGATCAAAAGCATACAGTTTTAAATTTTGATAACAAATAAAGATCTTATTGGCGGTTTATTTTAAATGTAACGGATAATGAAAAAGATTATCTGACACAAAAATATTTACACTACGGAGTCGTATAAAAATGATAAAAACTAATTTAATATCAAACATGAATCGAGTCTGTTAAAAATCAGTGTGATGAATTTGAATAGTTTTTCTATGAACTTTCTATTGTTACGTTCCGTAATTATTATAAATAATGAACCATTAATATAAGTCAGAAAAATTACAACTCAACCTAAATACGGATGACAATACCAGGAGAAATGGTTGCGGTAAAACGCGTGTATCACTTCGAAGAAACATACCCACATTACGAAATGTTAATATGTGTACGGTAAGTTAGGTTTTACAATGACAATCGATGGAATTAGTACGTTTTCATATTTGTATTATTATCCGTAAGAGAAATATTTTTAGACAACGAAAAAAAAATGTATAAATTCTTATGTTTGTTCCCACGTATACTATTTGTAAGTATGCACATATATTTGTTTCAAGTTGTTGTATATTGTTATACGATAAACTAAAGAACACGGTTTTTTCTTAGCTGACATCTTCAGAGGAAAAACTATTTACATAACCACCTAACTACGTCGTTACACCGGTCATACATGAATGAATTTCAATTTCACGCCTGTTCAGTAGTGTGTTTTTTTTTATCTCTATCCAGTTAGTTTAATTTAAAATAGATTAGTGCTAACGGATTCCGATATTGAAATGTTTAAAGATGCATTCCAATCCACGTACCTACCTCGGCTTGGTCGAAATCAAATTGATAAATACCAATGATAATTAACATTATTCATCGAGTACAGTTAATATTTGTCACGATAATATTTTGATAACAGTTTTAAGACAAAAATAAGTAATTTTACCTTACAACGCTGGTATGTTTTAAGCAGTGTCTTACGTGAACATCATCACCACGAAATAATAACAATAACGACGACAACGATATTTTTGTATTATAGTTAACTTTGGTTCAGTACGTATCATCCATGGCGAGATGAATGCGAACAAAACGAGACTGGTTCCGTAGTACGTCTTTACCCGAGGTCCGAGGCTCCCCTTCCACCGGTTGTACACGAGTTCACTGCACTACGTGCTCGCAGCTGGTTGTAATACGTAGGTAACAGGTCTCCTACGAATGTGTTTTACCTGCATGCACTCATTAGACGGATAGAAAAACACATACACAAACGCATATATATAGATGCAAGTCAACAACGCGGGCTGTGAGCAAGAATGACGTTTAGTGTTCGCTATCGATGACGACGAAAACACCGTTCGATTGACATTATGTTTTATTATAATGCGGTTTCGTGAAATTGCATTATTCAGTTGCACAATGCATTCGAATTTATTTAAATTTGTTTATTGTTAATTTTTAATTAAATAAACTAAAATACGTTACTGCTTCAATTCGTGTTTATTAATGGACAACAAAAACTGAAAGAAAAAATATTTAGGCATAAAATGTATAACGTATACAATAACATTTATTATTATCAACATAATTCTTGTAACAATCATTTTGAAAACTTATGCAATCATATTTGAATCCGTTGACTAGAAACTAACTAAAAAACTTTTAAAAATTACCAACAGCTAATAAATAATAATTTAAATGTATAGTTTTATTTTAAATACACGTATATTAACTTTTCGTTATCAATTACTTTATTAAAACAACTTTTGAGTTAATTTTGTTATTTTTATAATCAGAGTATTCATCTGTTTAGCTGTTAAATCAAAACCTATTTTATTTATAACATTATATTTAATACCATTATTTACTAGAAAAAAAAGTAAAATTAAATAAATTAAAAAGTATGTTATAGATGTATTTTAACTAAAATTAATTAATTTTTTATTCAAATATAAAATTATTTTTAAACACATCTCTCAAAAAAAAATTTAATTCAAATAAATATCGAATTTTCAAGTATAAACGATATATTAATCGCTTTCAATATTAAATTGTCAATAGTATTTTTTATGAAATACCATCGATAATCCTATATCAACTTTTTCTAAAAATCTTACTTTTTTAATGTAATATAATAAATAGCAATTAACATAGGTATACAAACACAAAAGTTTATAGTTTTTAAAGTTAACTAATATTAAACAATTTATATTTTTTATTAATTGCGTTCATATATAAAGATACATTTTATTATTATCTTAACTCCTGTGAAAAAGTACTGTAGACTTTCTTAAGCTTTTAAGTGGACTGCTGAATCCTAAAAAAAAATTTAAATTTCTCTTTGAGAATTATAAAATATTTTTATTAAGTTTTACAACTAACATAATATGATACGTTCACTGTATAATCAACTGACCTAAAATAACATATACACGTCCGTCCAAAAAATACCCACAAGGCCGATTTTAGCTTTTTCAGCGCCCTGCACAAAAATTATTTTGACACCTCTACCTCTTGATCGACTTAAATATATAACTTAAACAGACAGAATTTGGGAACCTGTAGAGGCTCGTTCATAATTATAAATTCTCAAAATAATTTTTCAAATTATCATACGTGCCACATATTTGTAAATCATATTGAGAACATCAGCCACTACTTACATGTTGATATAATAATAAATAATATAATAATGATAAAATTAATTTATATTAAATCATATTGTGAAAATTATTATTTTTTCTACCAATAGTAGATAATTTGCGTCGCCAAAGTTTGATCAACTTTATTTCTAATTTAAACGCCTTTCACGAGTTCTTCTGATTTTAACACCCTGTGCCGTCACACGCGTCGATCGTCTCTAAAACTTGAATATACACATACACATATTTAATAATTTATATATCGATGTAAATACGAGTATATAAAAGTATTCGATCAAATAGTAAAAAATAATGAGTCTCTTTATAAAACATAATGATTTCGTGTTGTCCTACGTCAAAAAACAATCAATATATAAATAAATAGTTTATAAATAGAAATAAATAAATACTTAGTTTGGAATATTATTATACTTTTAATTCAAAACCGGTCGTACATTACGAATATAATAATTCTCTAAGCTAAGCAATTATTTATTTATATATTTTTATATATAAACTATTTATTTATAAATTAATTTACAAATATTAACCATTTACTAATTGTATTTTATTTTTTATTATAAAACAATCTTCCCAATACCTACTAGTGACTACCACGAAAAGGTTACATTACAGGTATTACATTTATCCAATGAGTGGATTTATTATGTAAATGACTTACCAAATCGTGTAAAAATATACTCCACGGTAAATTATTCCATGCATATTATATTAGCATTATCATTAGACATGATATTTTCGCTTTTTGTTGTTTAGTAATAAAATGTCTCTCCAACGGTATTTTTTTATTACTTTATTTTTATCGGTAGTGCATAAAAATGCAGCGGAAAGACTATCTTGTGACGAATCTTTACTCGCTAAAAAGGGGAAGTTCTCTAGAGCCGACATCAGCGATTTAATATCAGTTGTCAATGAATCGCAAATTAAAAAGTGTTTGGTTGTACTCGGAAAAAATCAATTAGAACAGGAAATCGCTGAACTGTTGTGGAACGATTTAGTGAAAGTGATACTAATAACGATAAATGGATCTATTTCACGTTTATTTAAAAATATTAACCGTCTGATAACACTTATAGGTGTATAAAACTGCCGATGATATCCCGGAGGATAAGTTACAGTCACTAGGATGGATAGCGATGGGAATACCTGCTCGTGATTTTATGAATTTATCGCTGACCGATATCGAAACGATAGCAGCGTTTGGCCAGTGGAGAAATTTTTCCAGAGAACAGGTTTGCCTCATAAGTATGATTGTAATATCCATATCCATTATCCATATGCCACGATTAAACTACGTACGTTAAAACATATATTAAACAAATAATAGAAAAGCTTTATTTTATGAAATCAATATTTTCAGTGTAAAACTGAACTAGTCAATTTTGTCAAAATATGTGTTAAATTCAAACAGAACTACTGAAAAAAAACATTTTTCATCCTTGAAAGTAGAGTTTATACACGATTTAATTTACCATCTACTATTACCATTAATCTGACTATTAAGTTTTTATACTTTAAACAACAAAACAATAAAATAATTGGTTGTAAGAAATCTTAATAATAGGTACTGAGCCAATGTTTAAGAATCGTTAAAAGTAATTGCGTAGCTATTGTTATTCATTAGGAAGGTCATCAATTATTTTTTAGAATTTAAGGGGATTGCAAGCCATGATTTTCTTTCTCTTTCTATCACACGTGCAGTATAGGAATTTAGACGTTTTCTATTTCCAACGTAACCATCGATCTATTCATGCGATAAGGATTTTGAAATTTTATTAAAATTCGTCGTAAAGTCTTCTTTAGATCGACTTTCCCACTTTTTTGATTTTGTCTCCCAAAATTTCACAAAATGGGATTAAACAAATTGGAAACATAAAAAATAACAAAAAATAATTTTTAAGTATGTTAAGCATAATGGGCTTAGTTATCAATTAATTTATTTTATCATCTGTAATAACATTAATTATTATAACATATGTGTATAAATGTATACAATATACATAATACCTATATGATATGCATTAAGCACAGTAAATACTAGATTTACTGCCAAAAAGCTGATTCAGACTAGATTTCAGTATAATATATAATATATAGGATTTTTTATAATCGTACCTTGAAATCATTTAAAAAATAAAATTAGTTATCAAGGTGCTATAAACAGATAATATGTTCACTATTCTGTAATCTCAGTAAAGATTTCTTTCACGGCCGCGGCCTACTGTGCTGTAGCACAATAACACAGTGGACCAATCCGGCCCTGGTTATAATCCTTATAATCATTATATGTAATCACTTGGAGTGTGTACGAAAATAAATAAGAATGGCACATATATAACATGAATTTATTTATATCCTGTGTATGGATATACTGTGTATTTACTAGGGTTAAAGCAAAATCCTTACAGTATGATTATCAAAAGCAATGACGTTAATTGGTGTAGTTGGATAAGTCGACTGCTATAATCTCTGATCTTATTATCTCTCTGAATAATTATAAATATATTGCCACGTATAGTGGCATAAGAAGACTCCTGAGCACCCCTGGCAAACTTAGACAACTAATGCTTTTTTATCAATTAAAAATTTAATACAATGATATTTTTTTAATCTTTAATTTTACTAGTTATTTTTAAGAATATTATTTATATTTATTAAATATTATTACAATATATATTTTAAAAATTTACTTTTCTCCCTCTAAGACTGACGAGTTCATCGATAGTTTCTTCATATAAAATTTTCATTATAATTTCCCTTGTGTTATTTTCATAATTGCATCACTAAATTCACACGTATTATATACAATTAGACAAAATCTAAACATTTCAAAAAGTATAATGGAAAAATTTCGTTTTGAAAGCAAAATAAAATACGACTCTTGCACAATTTTGCACCCCTTTACAATTTTCGTCCCTGGTGTAGGTACAGTTCACTATATCCTAGCTAAGCTACTGGCAACCAATACACCATCGTCAGGAAGGATTATTTTCTTACGTCAAAAAAAAAATAAATAAAAAAATCTCCCTCAAGCATTTATTAACAAAGGTACATAATCTTATCCATTGGCTATTAAACTATTACATCTTGATACATTTAATAGTACTTTATAAGATATTATTCGTTTTTAACCTGGCAAAAAAGATAATATGTTATAAGTTCAAGTTTATTGAAATGTATAGTCCCTTTTCCTGATAGAAAATACTGGAACTTGATGTATTATTTTCCTTCGATGACTCAATTATTTTGTTATTGATTATGGTATTTTGTTTCAGAACATAACATATTAATTTATAGTTGAACAAATTCTTGATTTTACACGTACGTCTATTGGTTATTCATTTCATCACAACGCTATAAGTCCCCTATGCGCATATGTTGTTCATTTGGCCAAAACGATAGTATAATTTAATTACTTTTTATCGAAACCGAAAGTGTTCGTTAAAATGAATGTGAAAATGCGGTTGTATGTTAGAAAAAAAAGTGTACACTATACAGTTATTTTTTTCTTTCTAATTGATTCTATAACACGACGGAACCAAGTAATTCATAAACCATCTAAAATATTTTTAATTAATTTACTGTGATTCGTTTAAGCTCACGTCTCTGAAACAAGCGATAGATTACCAGTGGAGTTACAAAGGACCTTCCGACTTAAGTAGTTATGATCTGTCTGCTTTAGGTCATGTCTTGTGTGCGTTTAACACAACGCAGTTAGCCGCCATTCAACCAATAGCATTCAAGTAAATATTGAATCATTTAGTGTTCGCAGTATTGCATTTATCCCATGATCGTGTTCCAACGAAAACGAACGGAAAATTAACGAATACCATTGCACGTTAAACAGGGAGGCGGCGACGGACATATCGAATCTCATTAACTGTCCCAAAGAGGTCATAAGGCAATTAGCGACGTTGGCCACCAGCAGTGAAGCATTCGGCGACCCTTCCGAATGGACGGCCATCCAGGTGCGACCTGTTTTCCAATAGCCGTTTTCGCGTGGTAACACTTTAAAGAACTTGATTTCCGCCCATCCGTTTCATTAGGTGGCGCTGATCGGTTGCGTGATAGCCGGTTTGGACTCGGTGCAGCAAATACACGCCGAAGCATTCGAAGGTCTGTCCGCGTCCAGTATGAAATGCTTGCCGAGTCACACGCTGCAGGTAAACCACCATAAGACCGTCCGAGACGGATAGGGGAGGTTAAATGGGGTAGGATCAAGACCGTCTTAGGCCATTCAGGGGCCCATAAGCACCTGGAGCTTAGGGGTACTTTTAAGTGAACCAAAAAAAAGTTGAATAAAAACATCAAAAGCTTATTTTGTATAATGACTTTTTGGTAGCCGGAAAATATGAGTTATTAATTTTAAAGAAAAATCTTTTGAAATAACGAGATGAAAAATAAAATATACCTAATGCAATCGCACAAAATTAAGCGTTCAATATTTATTTGTCATTAACATTGTTTCATTACTATTTATCTAAAAAAATTTTCTGCAATTAAAATTATTTTTTTATAGGCAGTCATATTAATTAATACATTACATATTAAAATTCAAAGTTGTAATTTATATTATTCGGATCCTCCAGACAGATGAGGGCCCTGGGCACGTGCCTCAAGTGCCCATAGGGTAAATATGGAACTGAGTATGAGGAGTAGGGGAGGTGGAAACGAGTCGATAGGAAAACGTTCGAAACGATAATAATAAAGTAGTCAAATAAAAAGCGTGGGTGAATAAAAAACACACACGGTCCACAGGCGATATCGGCAGACCAATTGTCGCACTTGTCGTTGTCCGCCGTCAACGCGCTTACGCCTGCGCAGCGTTCGTCGTTGGACCTCGAACAGACGAAAGCTATCCAGGGGACGGTGAAAACGTTCGGCAGCGTCTTGCGCAGCGGCAGTTCCTTTGTTCGCGCGAATCACTGGTCCATATACGCCGCAATGGTGGTACATTTCGGATGGTCAACGATACTGCTGTTCGTGCATCAATCCCGTCCACGTCAATAGCGTATTCGTGTTGTGAACACGAACAATCGGTACAGTAGTGCTACTGCGTAAAGCAACAGTTCTCAAACTTTTTCTACACGGAGCCCTTATGCTTCTAAATAAATTTACGGAGCCCCGCAAACCAAGAATTTATATTTGAGACAACAATAATCATCAATACATCATACATACATTCCAAAGTTAAATTTTTATTTTTTTTTTTTAGAAGCTCACATTTTGTCATTCGCTGTGGAAACTGTGGTAATTTTACGTTGTATTGATAAATTTACTTTATTTTATTTCGTGAAATTACCAACCAAGTAATGAAGTCGGAATAACTAATAATATTATCAGAAATTTGAGTTGTAAATTAAATAGATTTCACTAATTGCAATTCGAGTAATCACATTAGTGTTTCTCCTCTATAACTAAGAAATATAATAATATTTATATTTAATTAATGCAGATATGCTCACAGATCTACGGAACCCCTAGACTTCTCTCGCGAAGACCTAGGGCTCCGAGAAGCAAAGTTTGAGAGCCGCTGGCATAGGGTATAGCATGTATAACAATATAATGCGTTACGATATTTTATTCATAATAGTACATAATCTTGTAGGTGGTACAATAGTTATTATTGTAATACACTTGTATAATCTTGTAATAATCTTGATGTACCATCTTTATTAAACATATTATTACATATTATTATAATTTCGTGCTCGATCAAATGATTATTATTATCATTATTATTATTATTATTACATTATTGAAATCACTATTGTTAACACATCGAAGAATAAGGAATCGTTACAGCAATACAATATAGTTTGCCAAGACGAAACGCAAGAGTACACTTAGCCCTCGTCACACGGGTAATACACGAAAAACAAACATAGATAGATATAGACGGATAGTGTATTCGTATAGGTATACGAATTACGAGATTTTTCTATAAAAAGTCTCGCGTCGGTATTCCGTTGCTCGGGCGCCGGGTGTAGAACACGGAAAGTTTGTGGAAAACTGATAAGATACATTATCATTATTAGATAGGTATACAGTTACACGACCTACTGCGAGTAAAGTTATTAATTCTAAACAAACACGTATAATTATGTATAAATATTTATAAGTATATCATATTATTGTATAATAATCCTAAGTAAGATGAAGCTCCGGGGGACGGGGGCCGAACAACCGATTATCGCATCCGACCTCCTCGCACCGTTCGCGTTCTACGTCACACCGAATCATATTTTAACCTATTATAAAACAAAAGACTAGTACAGTTTCACTTTGACACTTCGAAAACACTCGGGTCCGTTGACGGTAACCTCGGTACGAGGAACGTGTAACAAGGATAGTGCTGATCGGACCCGACGCGCCCCCCACCCCCACCCCCGACGCATGACGCTCTACAACGAGTCCAGCAGGGAGTCGAGCAGATCCATTTGCGAATCGTCCCACGTCAAGTTGGTCAGCATGGTCAGCTCCTCGTCCGTGGCTATTTGCTGCTGATGGTGATCGTTGGGCACGTCGATCACGGCGTAATCGACGACAGAAGACATGAACGGGTCCACGGTGGCCGCGTTTATCGAACAGCTGTACACCAACTCGGGCTCGCCACCCAACGACTCGTCCACAGGCAGTACCATCGGCTGATGGTGGAAACCGTCTAGGCCGTCCATGTACCGCTGCTCCTCCTTCAGCGACTCCACGGCCAGCTCCAACGCTTTCTCGTCCTCCGCGGTCATCTCGTCCGGCACCTTGGTCGCGTTGTTCTTCTGTTGCGTCCGACTTGCCCGCCGCCGGTTACCTACATCACATGTGCAACATTATTAAACATATGTATCATTATTGGCGAACCGGTAAACATTGTTATTTCGAGTTACTTTTCTCGCAATACTGAAAAACGTTAACGTTCAACAAATCGTGTTCGGGGGAAAAAAAGAGAAATAATAAACAATGATCATAAACTCGATGGTTTTCAGCACAAACACTGCATTATTTTGTACTCGAATCATCCCATTGTTATTAAATTGATTAAGAATAAATTATGTTCGATTAATTATTTCGATTGTTGTTTAATTGTTTCTTTTAATTCTAGAACAACCGTTGGACGTGATATTTGCAAGTCAATTACAGGCATAATTTCATGATGAAAACATTTTTAACATTTAATATTGGTTCAAAAATATTATTAGTGATTTTTATAAAACTGAAAAACTGTAAAACAATGTACATTTCCAATCAATGTTGAAATAAATTGTAAATAACCATTCGAATCTTAAGATATTGAAAATATTCGAAAATGATTTTGTAAATAATTACAAAAATAAAATTGATGAACATTGAAATTTGAATTATGTTAAAAGAATAATAATTGTGTTATTTTATTAATTTTTATAAATGATTAATAATGTGCATTATAATATGTTCTCAGATATTTTTTTTCGTCGATAACTATCATTATTTCCAAATGAATAACTGTACTACATAATACAATCTTATCCTAAAGTGAATAAAGTGAACCGAATATCAAACACCTAGTGTTTTAGATCTTTTACTCTTTATATATTTTGAATATTGTTTAAAATAATTTCGGTTCGTGCTTACTTGTACGTTTACGTCGAGCACCGCCTTCTAGGCAGTCAACATCAAACTTCCAAAATCCACCTTTGCCCGGTTCGTCTTTAGACCGAGGAACTTTTACAAAGAATTTATTTAAAGACAAATTGTGTCTGATAGAGTTCTACAAAAAAAAATGTTTAATGGAAATAGTACTTTTAATTTATCAATGTCGAAGATTACCTTCCAGCTAGGATCGGCGTTTCGATAATATAAAAAGTTTTCTCTGATCCAACCGTAGATAGAACTTAATGTGACTTTATTCCCTTTAGCTTTCATAGCCATGCAAATCAGTGTAGAGTATGAGAATGGCGGTTTCTTATCACCGTTTTTTTTATACTGTTCGGCACTTTCTAAACCTGGAACAAAATATCGTGTAATCAATACAGCCACATAACCCAATCGCCGAGGATGACACTCACTCATCTGGAAGCGGATTTTGTGCGGAAGTTTTTTGGGGTTTTGATCTGCAGAACGTGCGGATGAGTTTGGCGAATCAGGAGGCGTAGGCAAAGATGGAACCGAAAGAATATTTGTCAAACTGTGCAGCCAGTTTAAGCTGGTGAGATCCGTGTCCGGATCTGAACTGATCGGTGTTGGAAGCATGGGAGTCGACCTATTGACGTCCAACATTTTTAACTGAAACCGAAAACACGTCATATATTATTCTCTATTTGTTTTTTTTTCTGCTTACACTTGTTGTAGATCAGTAGAAGATTTAAAAAATCGTTAATTTCTACCCAGGGGTGCGTATTTGTCTAGGGGGTGATTCTCGTGCTCCCCCGAGATCGTTTCCGACCGATTAACAACCAACTTCCGGGCACATGCGTGCAGGATATCGACGCAGGTTCATTCTCGATTTTCTCCCCTTCTGTACAGGCAAGGGGTTCGTTTACCTGAGTGTTGTTGGATTATTAATCACTTGACACACTCCGATAATGGTTTACATATTATTATTATGCGTCGTAAAGGTGCCTGTAGTTTCGAAGGGGAGAAACGATTGTATTATACCCAGTGTGTATTATTAGCTTTTCGAAAATGATTTCCCTATGAATAGGAAGCGTCACGAGCCCTTTAACCGTCCTCATGTGAGAACTTATCAACCTGTACACAACTCACCATTGTACGCGTGTGTTTATTTTTTAAAATAATTTACGAAACTACAAAACCAAATGCGAAAGGATAACATACATTCAATATGTTAAAATTAAGCGTCTATTTTTTTATATTTCATTTGAATCAAAACTTTAGCAAATAATATTTCTCCATACAGCTATAATGATTTTTAGTTGTATCTAAACTCAATATCAATGCCGAAACGAATTACGGAACATTGTCATTCGTGACCTCAACATAAACTATCAATAGAATACATTTGTACATACGTGTTAGTCTGGATAAAAAGTGACCTTAACTTAGTTAAATTATTTTTCCTATTATTGTTAATGCATGTCGTTTGATTCGTTAAATATTAGGCTTGTTTCAAGTTAAAACAATTGTACCGCAAATCAAATACCACAAATAATTGCGTATAACAAATGCATACATGATTTTATAATATTATTTTATAGGTGCATACATTAAAAAAATATAATATTAAACGCGTGTCGAGAACAATGATAAATTACTGGTTATAATGATTATTATCGTCATCGTTTTACGACCACAATAGTTCTATCAAAATATCAGTTTATTTTCAGTACCAATACTGCACAATATTGTCCTAATCTCATAATGTAGTGCTCTCAAATACGTGACCCGCGAGCCCTTTCGATGTGGCCCGCAATGAACATTTACTTCTCCAACAATTTTTATTTTTAATTTTATTTTTTTTAAATATATTTTATATTTTAACAGTCTCATAAAAAATAATAGATGCCATATATCAAGTGCAGCTCAAAAATAAAAATAAATTATTATTATTATTATTAAAAAAAAAATCAATACACTGTACAACGTCCATTTTTATCATAATTATAATCAATAAAAAAATATATTTTGTCTTAATTTGTTTTGTTTATTTTAGATTTAATACAGTAAAACCTCGATAAGACAGAATCGCTTGGGACCATGATATTTTTCTGTGTTAACAGAGGGTTTCCGTCTTGCCAGGGTCAGTTAATTATATGTAATTTGAAACGGGACCAAAAAAAATGTTCCGTTATACCGCGGTTTTCGTCTTACCGAAGTTACGTCTTATCGAGATTTTACTGTATTAAAATGAATAAAAAAAAAGCTGTTTTACTCCCAAACTTTTGATGTAAATATGTAGAGCCCATTGGTATTTTGAGTTTAAGACCACTGTCATAGTGCATCACGAACAAAAAGAAAAAAGAAAAAAGTGGAAAAAAAAAGTCACTGGAGGATACGAACAATTTTGGCTATTTAGTTAGAGAAACATTATTGTTCGCGTGATTCATGAATGAAAGTCATTTATAATCACCCGGGTGCAAACAATAGATCCAGTCAGATGGCTTTATCGATTCAACAAAAATTCCCCTTGAAAAATAAAGATGGACAGAAACGGTTATCAAAACTACGTGGGAAAACTGTCATCAAGTGAAACGTGTATGCGTACATCACACACACACACACACACACACACACACACACACACACACACACAC